CATCGAATCTTGTCTTGTTCCTTGAATATTCTTCTTCTTCTTCTTCTTCTTCATAACTTGGTACTTGTTAGACACGTAACTTTCCAGTATCCGATTCAAAATCCCGCACGCTTTCGCGAACTTCTTCTCTTTCCCAATCTCGAGCCACCGCTGGATCTTCGAAATCCTCTCGGGAAGAATATTTCTGCAAAAGACGGCCTCGGAAATATCGTCCATGGCATCAAGAAGCGGGGATTCGGGGATCCCATCGCGAAGGGAGGCCAAGTCGAATCACGATTAAGAGTCCGAAAATTCCTTAACTCACAATGCTAGTATATCTGTAATATTTTTGCCTTCAAATAGTAATTTTATAAATAAATCTAATTGAGCTGTAAAAATGTTATATAAATGGTTTTGAATTGTAGAGGGTGTAAATTTCTCTTATGTTTACGAGGATGGGATGTCTGCTTTTGATTGGACAGTCGCTTTCTCATTTCCTTTTCAAATCAAATCACCAAATTGACACTCGTTGGCCTTTAGCTGATAAATAGTGGTTATGGGTTATCAGAACGGCACTAGACGTGCCAACAACATTTGTTGAGTTCTGTGTTAAGGCTCAACATAATCTTGATAAAGCTATACATTCCAGAGATGTATCCAAAAGAAAACACTGATAAGACCAGCTCCAATGTTGCGTCACATTCTTCATTACACCAGAGTAGTGTGGCCATTTCTTCTCCAATGTTGCGCTGGATGTTAGCGCCAGTGCAAAGATGTGAAAAGTGCATCGCCACATGTGGCGATGCACTGTAGATCAACTCTACATTTTTTTTTATATATATATATTATTGATAATTTTTTGTATAATATGTATTTGTAAATGTGGGCATTGTGTTAAATAAGTTGGTGATTTAATATATAGATGTATTTTAATTTTATTTTGTAAATTTTACTAGTACCATATAAATAAAAATTTACCACAATAAAATAAATATATATAATATGCGTAGTTTTTTGGGATAATGTGTATTAATAATTTTGAATATATTTTATTAAATAAAATAATTTTGACATCTATATACATATAATATTATTGGTAACAGAGTAATCTTGACATCTATATATAACTAAATATGTGTAAGAGAATGTATTTCATTAAATTATATTTTTGGTACTAAAATTAATTTAAAATAATAAGAATAAAATGTAAATATTCATGTAGAGTAAAATACAACGCTTCATGTAGAGTAAAATACAGCACGAACGATTGGAGATGAACTTTAATTATTGGTTAACTCTACGCTAGAGTAGTGTAAATTCTACACTAGAGTAGAGATAAAGGCGGGAGATGATCTAAATGAAAATCGAAAGAAGGAGAACATATCACCAACTCTTGAAAAAAGAAAAAAGAAAAAAAAAAGTATCCCCACAAAATAAATGGAGTCCTTGAAAGCATTCAGATTACACTCTTATATCATGCCCTTATTGAGAAGGGGAGCAAAAATAAATTAATCCAAAAAAGGAATGAAAAACAGCAACTTGAATGGATGTTCTTTTCGAATTACAGAACAACACACAACTGATCAAAAGAATAAATAAAAAGGGCAAAAAACTTTGCATAGCAAAATATATAAATATAAATGTGTGCAATTGCAGCTCTTTTCTTCCTTTATCTACACACAAGATCACCAAAAGAGCTCCTTCTTCTCTTCTTCCAACTCCTTTATCTTTCCTTATTTGCACATTAGCAACCCAAAAAAAGCTTTACTACTGAGAAAAAAGCAGCTTTTTCTCCCAGTATCAGTCTCTCCAAATCATGCCACTTTTTGTATTTTCCTTCTCTTCCTGCACCCTGTATATATTTTTATATAAATTTCTAATCACAATCCAACCCACAAACCTCCAACACAAGCCCATCCCTCGACAGGAACGGGTTTATGCGAACCCAAAGCAACGAGAATATCGAGGCCAAAAGGATCGACCAAACGACTATAATCGTCGGCAGCCTATCCTGCTTTCCCATAAAACCCTTGAGGAAAGGGTACAAATGTACAATCACCCAAAGCGCAAAGAACAACCGCCCGAAGAGCGGGCCCCACGACTCGTACCCATTGTTTATTGCATCAGATATCCCGACTGCCACCCCAATAACGTTGATGACTAAAAGAGTCATGGGTGGGATCAAAAGTGACGTCCACTTGAAGAGGTAAAGCTCGGAAAATTCACCGTCATCGGCCGCTTTTGAGGTGACCGTGAAATTCGTATTCACACCGGCCAATACTTTGAGCAGACCTTGGATAAGTGCGAAAAAGTGAGACGAGACCCCACCAATCACCCAAAACTGCTCGTTTCTCCACCAGTCGTCGATCCCGACTCCACCCCACTGCATCTCGAGTATGCTCGTCACAGCAATGGATATGAAGAGGCCCATGAAAACGAGACTCGCATAGTTGCTGATCTGTACATGCACAAAAATAAAATAAAATAAAGAAATGATGAAAATTTTCTAAGAACTAGGTTTAGGCATTTGTGGGACTCACCTCAGGAACAATGAATTTTCCAGTAAGGAGGCATACAGCTGGCAATGTGCAATAAACGATCAACGGGAGTGAAGTCAATGGGTAGATGACTGAGTTTATGTAAGAAAATCTCTCGAGCGGCTTCAGACCACATCCATATCCATACCAAATGGGGCAGTGTCGGCTCAAGAAAATCTCGACAGAACCCAACGCCCAGCGAAGGACTTGGTGCAGACGGTCTGAAAGATTAATGGGGGCCGATCCTTTGAATGCGGGCCTTTTGGGTATGCAGTAAACTGATCGCCACCCGTGGCAGTGCATTTTGAACCCAGTCAAGATGTCTTCAGTAACCGAGCCATAAATCCATCCAATCTGGTGAAAAATATCGAATTGTCAGGGCCAACTTGAGTATCCAAAAATTTAAAAAAAAAATAATGGGTACATAATACACTGGTTTTTGAAATTACGAAATAACCTGTTGTAGTTTACAAGGAAGTAAAAGTGTAAATACAAAATCAAACCAATATTTATTTTTCATTTTCTTTTCTTATCCTTGACAATTATGATTAACCCAAACATCAAGTTTTGCTTTGTATATTATTCCATTAATTAGTTTTATAAGCAACAAGTGTTGTACCTCTTTTCCCCATTCGGTTTTATCTTCATAACCGCAACTAATCACATGAATAGCTTCTTTTAGAAGTGATGCAGATGTGGCCCCTGGAGGTACACCACCTTGTTCTAGCAGGGTTGAGGCAATGAAAACGGGCGACTGTCCAAACTTTTTCTCGAATTTTACCTGGGGCATGAGAGCTGACTTTTCGCTTTCGATTCCTGCAATGAAGATAAAAAAAATGTCAAAACGAAAAAAAGATGGGCGCACTTTATACAAGCATTATGGAATAAAATAACTACTAACAGTCATTCTGGAATCTGAATCTGTTATAAAGTAACTTGTGACTTAAAATCAAATGCAAGTACTAAATTTCTTCCTTTTCCATTTTACATTTGACATAAAATAATTTAGTCACATGTCCTTAAATAAGACAATGAATAAATTTGGTCTCACCTTCAACTCCTTCCTCGATGTTTTCAAGAGCATGGATCTGTGTAGAAGCTTCCCTTCCTTTGGTCTTTTTCTTATTATCCTTCAACTTATTATCCTTCGATTTTCCTTTCCTATTCTTCTTTCTCGACCCACAACAGCAACAACACCATTTGGGCAAACAGTTGCAAGTTTTGCCAGGAGGTTTTGTCTTCTTGGGTGCATCATATCCATAAAGTGCCTGCCGCCTAAAGACACAACCTGTTCCGACGTAAATTGGCCCTTGGATCCCATCAAGCCCTTTCATATTTATCTGGTAGAAATACAAAATAAAATTAGCTTCTGCGGAAAAAGAAAAATGAATCACAATTTGTATAAACGAGAGAATCTTACATCGAAAAACACAACATTGCGATTCGAATAACGATCGTGCCTATCAATGCCATCAAATCGCTGTGGAAATTGCACATAGCATATTTTCTTGCCTGCTTGAGGGTCCATCATGAAACACATAGCTTCTCTAAGGGCCTTGCTGTTGTTTATGTAGTGATCACAATCGACGTTCAGTAGGTAAGGTGCATTTGATATGACAGCTGAAACCCGAATCTGTGAGTGGGGAAAAAACAATAAAGGATTAAAGTTCTGCTTGTCTGCAAATAAGTGGAACAGAAAATGGTGAGAAAGACAAGTACCAAAGCATTCATAGCACCGGCTTTCTTGTGGTGATCAAATCCAGGCCTCTTTTCACGAGAAACATAAACTAGACGAGGCAACTCGTTCCCTTCAAGATCCCGAACGCCATTTTGCCCCAAGAATACCTTTTGAGCAAACAGAGGTTAGGCTTTTAACACTTCTTAAAAAAATTGCATTATTATTTTTATTTAAAACTTTTGAATAAATACAAATGCTAGTATTGAATGAAATATAACTACTACCCCCGAGGCAAACCCATCTATATTTGAAAAATGTCATCTTTTACCCCATAAATAGATTTTCATTTATAAAGTTCAACTAATATGTGTAATAACACTAAACCTTTAGGTCTAGTTTACATAATTATCAGTTATCACTAATTCTTTTGCGCATGATATCATTTTAAAAAAAAAAAACTGAAATATACCTGGATCATTCCAGGATGATCCCTGACACTATTTCCAGGCCATGGGGTACCGTCTTGCATGGTCCAACCCTCCTCTGGAACCTTATCTGCCATAGCGACCAGTGCATTGATTNAGAGATACCTTCATTGCACGACGTTCCCTGACAAATGTCGGCTCCACCTTGTCTTTCAAATAGTCGAGCTTCTGAGCAAAGTACCACTCAGGTGCTCGAGGCTCAATGCTAAATTTCTTGCAAAATGGTACCCACTTCCTTGCGAACTCAGAAGTCTCGGAAAGTGCTTCAAATGTAAGCATGGCCGCACCATCATCCGACACATAGCACGCAACCTTGTCAACTGGGTAATCACATGCAAGTATAGACAAAACTGTGTTTGCCGTAATAAGAGGAGGTTCTTTCATGGGGTCCACAGTACTCACAAACACATCAACCGAAGCCAGCTCGGACGGCTTTCCGTCCTTCTCATACCTGCCGAAGATTTCAAACATGAAGAAAGTTCCACAAGTTACTACTAACAAAAAATAAATAAATAAATAAATAAACAGAAAATTACAGTATTCACATTTACTCAATTTTATAACCAACAACAATGACTTGAGAAGATGAAGAAAAGGAGAAGAATCAATAAACTATAAGCATTGCATATTTCCCTAATTCACTTGCATTTCCGATCACAAATCATATCCATACATACAGTAACATTTCCATATGAAACCAATTTTCATCATTAATGCCTTTTCATCTCGAATCATATACCTTAGAGAAAGCCTGTCCAGGTATGTTTCTCGCACGATGGGGAACCACTTGGGAAACTGATCAAATATCCAGGAGACAGCAAACCAAATCTCGCATATAATCGATGTTAGCCACAGACCATATGCATCATTGACCGGATGAAGGATTCTGTAGTGAAAGAACAGTCCAACAATTACCATCCGCAGTAGAATGATCATTCTGTAAGGATTGATCTTGCTTGAAGGAATCGGTAGCTTCCTTGAAAGTGGTTGTCTTCCTTCATCCATCCTGTAAACAAAGAATAAAAGAAAATCCTAATATCAAATACTTCAATTAATATTTTACAAGATTTTTTTGTTTATTTTATAAATCTTTGAGATGACTTGTAGCAAGCAAATGGCAGTGTTTTTTT